TGTCGCGGACCAGTTCGTGCCTTCTCCACATAGGTCGGCTGCCATGTTGATTTCTCGTGTGCAGCTGACCTGTTGGTCTTGATGATCTCTCTCGCCTTGTTGATGATCTCTGCGAAAGTGTGGTACTGCTCGCGATCACCAAGTGCGAGGCTCAAAGCGGCACATGACCTATTGCAGAACTCACTGCGCAGATGCCGAAATGGCAGGTCCAGATCGGGCGTGGCCACGATCTTTTGCCAATCCGTGAGCCAGTCACGTGTCGGTGTGCTCCCTTGAGCCATCGCGAAGATGCGGTTGATGGCGAGCGCAGGCGCGTCATCCACTATGAACCGCTTCTTCCATTCCTTTGTCATATCCGCCAGGAGACCTTCTTGTGTAGGTCTGAAACCTGGACGTCGTGGATGGTTGCCATGTGGCTGAGCCAGATCTGACATCCTCCCTTGGTGTTGATGAACAGAGCACTGATGAACAGATGGTCAGGGATCTCGTGGATCCCCAGCTCCGTTGTAAATCCTTGCCACCAGACGACCGGGTCTTGATGTGTGTAGTCATCAAATTTCTCGATCCGGAACGTCGGCATCTTGTATGGCCTTGCCGAGCTGTTGTTGTGGCTGTGGTCGGTCTGCTGTTGCTGACTGATCTTAGTGTCCAGCAACTCGAACCGCTGGCTGATGGTGGCCGGCTCTGTGAAGGCACTTATGTCTCCTAGCATTGCCACTACGTGGTCAACGCGTTCCTCCAATTGGCGGCTAGAGGATGCACTGCTGGAAGCCCCAGCAGCTGGTCCTGGTACAGCCTGTTCCAGGTCCAGTACACGGGCGTCCAGTGCCCGTGTGGCATCCTCATACTGAGTCTTATGGTTCCGCACAACCCGCTGAAGGTTTGCCAGCTCGGACTGCAGGTGGTTACATGTGTAAACCAGCCTGGTCACGAGCTTGGCCATGAACTCCTTATGCTTCTCTTCGCCAGACCCCTTCGCACCATGATGATGATGATGTATGTTCGGGGCTGCATTACAATATTGATTGTTCGGATCATTGGTACCTAAGTCTTCCGCTGTGCTATCTTATACCTTGTATTGAAAGGTCAGTTCTTGTTCTGGTCTGCACCTATACGGTATGCAACAGTTTTGTATCGGAGCGGACCTCTCATTTAGAGGACCCGCTCAATCAAGTAGCCAGCTTGTGATCTATTGATCACTCATTAGTAACGCAAGTAGGACTTAGTCAAATCTCTGAAAAAAATTTTCTTTTCTCGCAACAACTATCTGAAAATTTCTGATATTCGCATTTCATTCTATCTGAAAATTTCTGATATTAGTAGTTCGTTTTCACGTAACAAATATCTGAAAATTTCTGATAAATCGCATTTCGTTTTGTCTGAAAATTCCCGATAGTAGCATTTCGTTTCTCTGATATTTCGCAGACATAGCCGAAATTTCTGAAGTTAGTACTTCGTTTTCTAGGCATATGGGGATAACGATAGAAGTGGTCATATTCTCGGAAACCGAAATTATTCTTTTCTGAAAATCGAATTTCCATTCTATCTCGCAAATTTTATTTTGAAAACCGAAATCTTGCGGAGCCTACCAACGTTCGGTAGGCATAGTCAGAGGTTGCCATATTCTCAGAAACTGCATTTCGTTCTTTCTGAAAATCGTATCTTTACTCTATTTCGCAATATTTTTTTCAAAGTGGGCATTTTAGTGAAAGCCGAAACTTTGCGGCACCCAGCCTAGATCTCGTTCATAATACTCTTCT